TATTGAACAAATTTTAAACACTTTTTTTTTGAACAAATTTGTAAACACTTTGAAATTTCTGAGCCAGTCATGACATCGTTATGACGTGTGATTTCACGTGTTAGTATAATCGTTCCCTACCAATTAATCTGTGAAACACTAATTCAATACTAAATAGAACAAAATAGTGCTGACTAAACAATAAAAAAAGAATTGAATTTGCATGAAATTGTTCTATATAGTATTACTAAAGCTTCACGGTTATATTGTTTGCACTCTATGTACATATTTTATCTGACTAGTTATGTAATATATACAGCACGAACCTTCGTAGGCGAGCGGGAAGTGGAGACGTTTTGTTAATGCCTTCATATTTTCGAAATTGWGAACTGAATCATAACTCAATTTGTTTTTCTTTCCCTAAACCCAAAGACATGCATTTGATGGATTGTTTCTCGCCATTATTACCTTATCTTATTACTAGCAGGAACAATTAATTCAGAACGAACATTTAACCGCTTCAGTGATTTTAACCCATAGTCCAGTCGCGTAGGCTTGTCCTGGTCGACGACAACGTTTTTTGAATTAACTGTTTTCCGCATACTCTAAATATATCTATTATTATTATTATTATTATTGTTATTATTATTTATATGTGGTTAGCCCGAATAATATATATTCATCATAGCTCATTATATATATTTCATTACCCTAAATGTTTATTGCCATACAATAATGGCACCCCATAGATATCAACAAATTCATTCAAAATGACTTCGCTAGAACTTGATAATATAGATATCCTTATAGCCTGTATTTATGTATTTATGTATTTATATTAACTGTTTTGGCTTTAAAGTCTGCTACAAAGGAACATGAGGTACATAGTAATGTTTATTTCAAGATTCCATTTGATTAAAGAAGAAAAATAAATAAATTGCCAAGCACATTACAGGGTTTGATCTTTGCCGTTCGAAGCGTAAAGCAGGTAAAGCAGGTAAAGCAAGTCAATAATAGGCAACATATAGCTGATGTGCATCATGATCTCATGAATTTAGGAGTTGCCACAACACATCGATGGCTTCTGGCGTCTACTTATAAGTTTTCTTGAAGTAAATATAAACTTAATCACTCTCTCCATCTCTCTCTTTATATCTGAAACTTGTTTCCCAAAGATGAAACTCACACCATGACCTTTGCCATTAACAAACTGGAAATTTTTATTCATCATACTTAATAAAATAAGATATGGACCAGGGCACATACTCAAAATCTGCTGAGCTCTTTATTTGTTTTCAAATCACCGGTTCGCACCGGTTTTTGGCTAGTCTCCCCCAAAAGCCGCTTTCAGTGTCGTCACGCAACGCTTTCTCCCCGGTCGCTAACACAGAGTAACTGTAAAAAATCAGGGAGATGTCTGCCTGAATCAGTTCATGTAACGAAATTAATTGCACCAAAATGTCTAACTATTTTGAAAAGTTTGACTTTTATAATCTTCCGCTGCTCTTTCTTAAGAAGTTCCCGGAAAAACGTATAGCAAAAATTGATCTCCAAAACTGTGTTTTATTTACATTTTCTTTTGATAAACGCGTTTGCTGCAAATAATTTATGACAATAAATAATTAATAATAAGTAGTAATAGGTAGATGTCAGCTTTTATCAGTGCAGGTTTT